GAGAGATTTGGTTAGCACCTGTGTTGTCGGTACGATAAATAATTACATACTACTAGCTGTCTGTTGGTGGCTTGTGAATATTACGCAGCAACTGATGGAGTTGGGCCCAGATATTCATATAAACTTTCGCGCCGAGCCTGAAAAGGTTTGCTACGAAGAATTTACTCCGAGTTCGCGCATCATTTTTCTCGAAAATCAAAAAAGACAGGGTGGTTACTCTGAATATACAGGATAGCCTATGAGTATGCCTGTTTGAGATGAACTGGTGCGAAGTGATCCATCAGCTGCTCAAAGTGAGAGGACATCCAGTAATGAGATCAGCACGCCAACCTCCGTTTTGGAAATGAGCTCGATTCCTGGAAATATGGAGCAGGCATGACTGGCCATAACAAACGTGTCCAGTACATAACGCAGCCATCGTTTTGGGTTAACTGTGGGAAGAGCAATAGTTTCTGATTTCAACATTATGGTCTCCGCCAGGAACTTAAATATAAGCGAACCCACGGGGTCTGCTCTTAGATGGCGATAGATTTTGGTAAACTCGAGAAAAACGTCAGAATCCGGAATACATCGATAGTACGACCGTCGGTTTTGACGATGTGCAACCTATGCTCCACAGAAGGGTGGGAGCAGGGACGGTTACTTACGCAGGATTAGCGTGAGAGTAGACTTGCGCTGAATCTACCACACTCTCTCCTCCTTCTCCTCCCCCACCTGGACCCTGTGTCAAGACAGAGTCAAAAAGACCGGAGACGGCGGAGGCCGCAGCTGGATGGCACGGTCGAGCCCGCACCTTGGCGTTCCAATCCACAACCCATGGTCCATGCAACAAATAACTAGGTTTTTGACCAACAACAACAAGGAGAGTGGAGGCTGGCACGACCGAAGCCGCACCTAGGCGTGCCGCCAACGCCCGGCTCAGATCTTACATAGTAGGAGTGCCATAAAGGCCACATTCAGAAGGAGTCATTTCAGCCTGACTCTGAGACCACCAGCGGATCACTCCACACAAGCACGCATAACGCTGGCCGACTGCGAGTTCCAAGTTATCCTGTCAGTTGGTAACCTTCTAAGCCACGGCTTTTAGAGCACCGTGACAGATTCAAGCGCGTCCGATTGTTTATAGTGAGGAGAATGCGCTGAATCGTCGATCTCACTCTCCCTTCCCATTCCCACACCTCAGCCACTGTCCGAGCCGGTCAGCTGACTGCGGTGGGGAGTGGGCGCGGTGGCTGACACGGTCTGGTGACCATGATTGCGCGCGTCACATACACGACCTCGCCCCCCAAACGCAAAAACCAGGATTTCACACAACGGGAGTTGAGCGGCGTATCTCTCACTTGCGTGAGAGTGCAGTGGAAGGAGCCGTCTCGGTCTGAATCCCAGTCCACCAGTCCGCTACTCCACACAAACACACCTGGACGAACTGCATTAACCGAGTTGGAGCGCCAGTCAGCAACCTTCCAATCCACGGCGTTTGACGCATCGGGATAGTCTCAGGCTCGAGTTACCCATGCAACAGGAGCCGCACGGAGGCCGAGTCAAGACGCACACTTCCCACTTGCGTGGGAGGTGTCAGTTGGGTGTTTGCGGTGAATGATGCTGATGTGTGGTGAGATGTTGGTAAGGGATAAAGTCGTGGTGTGGTGCAGCCGGCGGTTGTCTACCGCAGGTTTTCGTGGATGCGCATGTGACCCATGCAGTTCATGAATGTGCGAGGGCAGTGTGGATACTGGAGGCGGATGCGGCAGGTGTAGGTGGGTACTTCAAGCACTGGATCGCCAGTGCCTGTGCGATGAATTCGCAAGTGACCGACCAAGCCGATGAGTGGGGTAAATGTGCGCGGACAGTGTGGACATGAGCAGTTGTTGGTGTCGGTGTCGGTTACTGGAGGATGGTGATTGTGGGGGGCGCATAGGACGACAAAGTGACGGCGGCTTTGGGCGTGGTGGGTGTGTCAGGACTGCGGAGGAGGAGGAGGAGGAGGAGGAGGAGGAGGAGGAGGAGGAGGAGGTGGAAAAGAGGACGTATGGAAGTGTTAGTTTAGGAAGGCGGCCCGAATTAGTTGACGGCGTAGAGTGCGAGGAAGAGGCGGACGGAGGGAGGTCGATTGGTGCAGTCCGAACGGTGCAGTTGATCCGGAGGTGTCCAACAAGTCCAAATGGCGCCCGGACTGTCTGTTGACAGCGTGGACACGCGGAGGGCGGTTGTGCATTGGCAGTGCGGGCTGAGCGCAGCTGAGACTTGTGTGCTTCGCGTTCGGCTTTCGCGGCGGCAATGCGGTTGGCTTCGTAGGTCACAGCGCCTGTCTTCACTGTCCTACTCCATGTCGGTCGGTCTCGGAAAAGGTCTTCCCTGTTGGTCGGGTTAATTTGCGGACGCCTCAGGGAGGACTTCAGAGTATTCTTGTAGCGAAGACTCTGACCTCCTTGGCTACGGGAACCCGAGGCGACGTCTCTATAGAAGAGTCATTTGCGTAGCCGCTTGTCGTACGTCCGCACGAGGCGGCCGCTCCAACGCAGTTGTAGTTGTCTCAGCACGGCGTAAATGCTGAGGATTCCCGTCCGTTTCAGTACATCAGTACCCGGGATTCGGCCCTGCCACCTCAGCTTCAGTATGCGGCGAACACAGCTGAGGGGGAAGCAGTTGAGCCGGCGTGCTTGCTTCGTGTACATCGTAAAAGTCTCAGCTCCATACAACAGCGTCGGAACGACGACGGCCTTGTACCTCTTCAGCTTCGTGCTGAGCTGAAGACCTTGAGGATTCTAAACTGTGCTTTGAAGACGGCCGAAGGCTTGACTGGCCTTCGAATTCAGGCGGGCTACTTCATCGTCGATTTTCTTGCTGCAGGAAAGGGCACTGCCCAGATACGGAAGTTGTCCACTACTTGCAATTGGGTTCCGTTCACGCTGATTTGCGGCGCATTGTGAGCTGTGTTGGGTGGCTGTTGATGCATGACTACCATCTTCTGCGTGTCGACGACCAGACCAAAGTTCTCGCAGGCGGCGGCGGAGAAGAGATCCATGCTCCTTTGTATACCCCCTTCCGAGGTGGTGTTCAGGGCGCAGTCGTCGGCGAAGAGGGGTTTGTGAAGAGTGGTTGTGGATACTCGCGATTGAAAGTGCATCCTACTTTTGTTGAGGAGGTGGCCGTCCGTCCCGTAGGCGAGGCGGATCCCGGGGCGTCCATCAGCATGGCAGAGAACATAAGATTGAAGAGGGTGGGCGCCAGGACGCATCTCTGCTTCACTTCGTTGGTCAATGCGAATGCCTCTGAGACAGCTCCCTTGTCCGTGACGGGCGCCATCATGCCGTCGTGGAGCTGACGCACCATCTAAGTAAATCGCTCGAAACGGCCGAATTTCTGCATGTTCTTTTACAGTCCTTCACGATTCACCGTGTCGAAGGCTTTCGTCAGATGCATCAAGGTTGAGTACAGGTGGATCCACATCTCCTAGCACTTCTCCTGAAGTTAGCGGGCGGCAAAGTTTATGTCCGTGGTCTTATAATGACGGCGGAAGCCGCGCTAACCTTCCGGCAGAAGACCCTGTTCTAGGCGATTATTCAAACGGTTGAGAAGGAGGAAGAGGAGGTGGCGGGCAAAGATTTTCCCGGCGATGTTCAGCAAGGAGATGCCTCGGTGATTGTCGCAGAGCTGGCGGTTTCCTGTCCGCTTGTATAGATGCACGATTATGGCGTCTTTGAAATCCTGCGGGACTTATCCTTGACGCCACATCTCCTGGACGAGCGCAGCCAGATGATCCATGAGTTGGGGGCCGCCGTTCTTGTAAACCTCAGCAGGGATCGCGTCCGATCCGGGTGCTTTCCCTAAAGAGCTGTTGCACGGCCTTGATGGTCTCGTGGAAAGAGGGCGAGAGGCCGAGGTCGCCGTAGGTCTCCACTTGCTGTAGACGGGCAATGACGGCGTCGGAGGTGGTGGAGGGGCGGTTGAGGACGCTTCGGAAGTGCTCGGCCCATCGGTGTAGAATTTGCGCCTTTTCATTGAGGAGAGTACTGCTGTCGGCGCTGAGGAGGGGTGCAGTGCCTTTGGTTGGCGGACCGTAGACGACTTTGATCGCAGAGAAGAAGTCCTTCCATTTGTAGCGGTCCGCGTATCCCTGGGTCTCCTCGGCCTTACGAACCATCCAGGCGTCCTACATCTCGCGCGGTCGCTGTTGAACGAGACGGCGACAACGGTAGAAAGCAGCTCTGTTGTCGTCAATGGGGCGGTCGGCGTAGGCCTTGAGCAGGCGGTTCTTCTCGGCGAGCAGGTTGTTAATGGCTGCGTCGTTGTCATCGAACCAGACCTGGTGTTGACGGTGTGTGCGACCGAGGACGACCATCGCCGTAGACTGGACTGTGTCCCACAGTTGACGCCATCAGTTCTCCATGGAGGCATTCTTGTCAGCGGCGGAGGCGCCGGCGGCGGCAGAGACTGGAGGGTTGTCTAGCCGTTGAGCTAGTTCATTACTGAAATGGGCATGATGAGCAGGCAAATACGACAAGGCAATATTCAGATTACCTGGAGGTCGCTTACTTTGTGGTCTCCTGTGAGGGTGTAGGCGACTACGCATCTTTGAGATGACGAGGCGATGATCGGTCCGCTTGTCAGCACCCGCGATCGCCTTTGTCACCAGTACGTCCCGCTGGTTTCGCCCCTGGACGAGGACATAGTACAACATGTGTCACTGACGCTACCGAGGATGCATCCAGGTGGTCTTCTTTCGCATCAACAGACAGAAGAATGTGTTCGTCAGAATAAATCAGTGTTCTGCTCAGGTGTGGAGAAGGAGCAGGCGATTGTCGATGGGACCGCGGAGACCATGGGAACCCAGCACTCCTCTCCAGGCAGCATGGTCTGGGCCGACGCGGGCGTTGAAATCACCAAGGACAATTGACTTATCTGCCTTCGACACACTCGCTAGGAGGGCGTTCTTGAGTCACTAGCGCCGTCCTCCGTTCCGGTCGATTGCTCATTTGATCGTCTTAAATGGATCAAACATTCCAGGCTGCCAGAGTGAGCGAAATCACCCTGCCAGTCATCGGCGACTGGGGCGGTGGGAGGGGGAGA